TTTTACAGTGGTTTCCGGTCTTCCATCATGATTTTGGAAGCCATTGAGTATAATCTTGATGATATAGAATTTAGATACAGATCTAGATCTAATAGTGATCGCTCGTTTCGGAAGTCCTCAATTGAAGAATTTAACGTGCTAAAGTATACCTGGGTGAAGTGAGGAAAATTCGTGTAAAGTGCCTTTCCCAAGGACACAACGTCGGACCCGCGCCTCGAACCCCCGAACCTGCAACCTCACGATTACGAGTCCGGTAGCCTAACCGCTAGGCCCACCGACGCCACAGATATCCTACTTGTTGGTCAGCTATTGGTACTACAGTCGACTGCGGATGAGTTGATGTCGTCGTGAGAGGGAAAAAAGAAAGATCAACTCATCTGAAGTTCAACTTAACCGTTTGTAACGTGTAGCTTGCATTTTTTGCTCACTTTTCCCCTTGTGATAGATCTAGACACACAGAGTGATCTTTTTGTTGGTGTTTTTATTTTTTGTTACAGTTCTCTTTTGATCTTTGTAGGTGGTTGGCGAGTGATCTGGTGTGGTTTGCTCCTTCTTTCCTATCAAACATCTATCGTCTTGATCTCTCCTCCTTCTTTTTTGTGTTTGTTACTCTCTTGTAATTAACACCTGTAAGTCTAATCTTTGGCACTTATATGACCTTATTTTATTGCAAGTTCCATTAAAACACTTACTAAAACTAAAAATCTGTTTTTGATCTTTTTGCTGGTGTTTTCTTGTTCCAGTTCTCTTTTAATGTTTTTGTTTTTGTTTTCTTGTTCCAATTCATTTTGTATCTTTTTGTTGGTGTTTTCTTGTTCCAATTTTTGGGGGGGTGTTTTATTGTTCCAGTTCTTTTTAAAAATCTTTTTTGTTGGTGTTTTTTTTGTTCCAATTCTCTTTTGTGCTTTTTTGTTCCAGTTCTCTTTTTGGTATCTTCTGGTTTGTGTTTACTTGTTCCAGTTTTCTTTTGATCTTTTTGTTTGTTTTTTCTTATTCCAGTTTTCTTTTGTTTTTGTTTTTTCCCGTTCTGTTTTGGTCATTTTGTTTGTATTACCTGTTACCTGTCCTGGGCAACAACGTCACTGCACACCGGACAGATCCATAAGTGCTCAGTCCCCCCCCCCCCCCCCAGCACCAAAGCCCACAAGGTATCCATTCTGATTGTTGTTCCGGTGGCTGTCTGGTTATGGCGACGTCTTTCTTTTCCAGATAATCGTTCCTTTCTTCCTTCTCCCCTCTCTATCCCCATTTCCCGCATCCTAATGATTGCGTGGTGTTCTGCTGTCTCCCAGTCTTCTTCGTCCCACAACTTTTCCTCCAGGGTCTTCAACTCTTTTCCTTTGTCAAATTTCACCTCACCATCAACCACGGCACTGCCTGCCAGTTTATCAGCCTCCTCATTGCCCTTCACCCCTGAGTGCCCAGGACAGAATATCCGCGTGATGGCTCTAAGTGGTGAGTGTTGTATTGGGTTCATCCTTCACTCCGAAGAAGCCCTTTCTCAACCCCTCGCAAGATGCTCATGGAGGCTGTGACAATGATGAGATGGGTAGTTCTTGGTCTTGTATTTTGAAGCCCGCCAAGCGCTCTTGTTACGGCCTCCATCTCCATTTTCGTGCTTGAAGTTGTTGT